GTTGTCTGCTCCCTCCCAGGGTCATTTCCTCACAATGAAGAGGGAACACAATAATGCACAGCTGCATTACAGAGCTGGAGATGAAGGAGGAGAGAATGGAGGGAGAAGAGTGAATTGAGGAACGGGTGAATGAGTGCATACGCAAGATGCTTCTTGACCTGTGGGGTGACTCCTAGCCCAGGGAGTCAAGTTAAGTCACTCATGCGTGTAACCTGTCTATGTTGGAGCACACGCCCACGGACACAGGAATGAAGTCACAAGTACATCTAATTAATAACCCACGGGGAATCAAAAAACATGCACATACCAGCATATAAACACACACTGTAGCTTTAGGAGGTTTCAAATTAATGTTATTTATTTATTTTTGGCAAATACTACTGTTCGTCTACATTTATACGCATGATGATCCACTATTGCTTGCACACCACGCTGTAGCTAGGCAACCACACTCAGGAGCAGATCATTATGGGATACTCCTGGGAAATGTGCTGATAATGTCAACATTGGGGCATGTATGAGGGAGCGTCTACAAAGAGTTATACCTTTTAAAACACACAAATTCTCCCTTTTCACATCCTGCAAATATTCCCTGCATTTTAGTTGGTTTAGCGGGAGATTTGACCAACGTCTGGCATTCGCTCTGGTGGTGTTTTCGCTGGATTAGCTGACTGATGCACTCACATTATTGTCACTGATAGCTGAATTTCCCAAATGCTCAGGCCAGTGACTCATGCTGTGCATCATCAGCGCTCAATAAGACCACTAAAGAGGTGTCATTGTGAACAACTCGCTCCCTCATTCACGCAATTCCGCTAGGAAGCCACACACTGTATGTATCAGTCAGATTGCCGTTTCAGTGTTTTGTGTGTAAACAGGACATTAATAGCCATGTCATTGTGTTTGCGCTGTACCAGCATGTGTGTGAGTATGAGCTGTCCCTCGTGGAGAAGTGTGTCATGGTCTGGTATTCTTCTGTGTGTCCTGTGGACCCCACGCGTTGGTGTGTTAGCGGACAAAAGCAAATGTAGCAGGAGTGGCGAGGCAGCGAAGCAGGATATCCCCTCTCTGTCTTACAGACTTCCTTTGCTTCTCTGGCAAACACACAGAGATCCTTCCTCACCCGTCCTCTTCCTCCTCTTCTCACTTTCTTCATTGACTTGCTTTCTGGGCTATAACTTGACTGTTTTTCTTTTTTACTTTTCCCCCACTAATATCATCTGCTAGGCTTCTTTGATGCTCTCGGGTCTCCCCTTGTTTTGACTTGCTCCGTTTTTCTGCATCTTCTATTCTCAATCACACTTCGTCATTTTCTTCTCACGTCCTCACTCCGTTGTTGCATGCCTCATCTTCATAGCAACTTTTATTTTTACTCGTGAAAACAAACTCAAAACAAGAGGAACCTAGAGGGAGTGCGTGAGAAGTGAGAACACATGCCATCTGCTTAGCCTGAATGGGAACTGTTCCTCTACAAGTTTAGGGGTCCGCGTTACATGCAGTTGCACCTAGATCTGCAGATCTTTCCTCTTCGCAGTATTTTTCCTTTAAAGGTGGAAATGTTGTGCAAGTTTGTAAACATGAATATAATGTGGTACACAGTGTCTGTGAGTAAGCGTGTCCTACTGGCTGCTTCACATGACTCCTCCATCAGAGTAGTGGCGGATCTGTTTAGAGATGCTAGGCCAAGTATATTCATGCAAAGCACTGAGCCAGTTTCCTTCTGTCTGTGTCTGTCTGCCTCTCTTTCTGCTTCTGTTTCACCCTGCTTTCAAACCATCCTTTCACTCTTCACACGTTATTCGTACTTGTCTCTCTTGCCTTTGCTTAACTTTGCTTAAAAGTCTCTTTATATTGGAATTAAACTGTTTGCCTGATGTCATAAGAAGTTTCCCAAGGGTTCAGACACTGTGGTCAGCCTCCGTCTGCCTGCCTCCACATACGCGACCACACACACACACACACACACACACACACACACACACACACACACACACACACACTACAAGTCTGCTCCGTGCTGAATGTGTAGCCTACTGCTGAACACTGGCACTCATCACACTCTGAAACTGCCAGTGTCTTTGATGTCAGGCCAGATTGCTCAGGTCAGTTAGTCAGGGTGCACAGACTGTGTGTGTGTGTGTGTGCGCGTGTGTGCGCGTGTGTGTGTGCGTGTGTGTGTGTGTGTGTGTGTGTGTGTGTGTGTGTGTGTATAGAGGGAGAGAATATACAGCATGTTTACATCAGCCATATAAAGGTGATTAGACTGTGGAGCCAGAGAGACCAGCACTGGAACAAACAAGTGGCTGTGTGCTGCCAACACTTTACCTGCATGTATATGCTTTCAGGAGCAATGACGCGTATCTGCACCACACGCATCTGTACACCACAGACCTGCCTTGTATGTGGTCACTCACTAACCTTAATCCCTCATCAGGGAGGTATAAGAGCTGACATACAGCACCTATTAGCCTTAAATTACACTCCTCATTCGCACTGCTGGCCTGCTACCTGCCCCCAGAGCCCCCATAACTGTCTCCAGGCACCTCTGGCTTCAGTGTGGCATAACCACCTCAACATTGGCCCTTTATTAAAGTTTGCTGCCTCTAATTGATGGCTATAGCTTTTTCACAATAAAACATCCATAGAGCGTCTGTATTTTTGTATGTACTCAGCTACTGTATTACACACACACACACACACACATTCAAGGCCAAATAGTTTTTAGGCTAAGGGCGAGCACGCACACTAAGAGCCTGTCATCGTCACTTTTAGGTTCGGCTGGCGCCAGTTTGGTTACTGATAAAAAACGAGCCGTTATTTAAAGCGCCTCTCTAATACTGAGTTTGGAAAGTGTGCAAACAGGACGTTGCTTGTTTCCATTCGGGTTTAGTGTCAACTGATTTATGCAAATGTAACAGAAAACGGCCTGCTTGTTTGAATACTGCTCCCAGCAGTTTGAGGCCTGATAACGTCATAGCTGCAGGCACTACTGCCTGCATATTACAGAAAATCGACATACAGTAATGGTAATACGCCCAGACCCTAAACACTCCACTCTGAGAACCAGTTTTCAGACAGGATGCATTACAACGCAAAAATAAATGATGGCGCAAACAGCTATATTGATTGTTAATGGGTTATGATGGACTTGAAGTTCGTTTTATAACCTGCTGTCATTATTACCTGTAATGGGGAATTAAAACAAATACATCACTGTGCTGTATTATCAGATCTCAAGCAAGTCCTGTGTGTTACGAGAAATCAGGAGAATAGATTCTGCAGGTGTTTGAAGTGAACAGTGACAGGCATGACGATGATAACTGCTAAACAATAAAATGATAAGGTGGATGAGGAAGAAGAAGCTCTTCTTGGTCCTTCTTTGATTGAAATGCCATGTCTACCGCAATCAAGTGACATAGCTAAACATGCAAGAGCAACCCAAGGCCCAGGACCGGAGCTTCGGCTTCTCTGGGCCTGTCTCATCGATGTGACACACTCATAGAGAAAAGCCCACGCACACACTCACACACGCACGGGAAGACGGACAAAAACAAAGACGTCAACATCCATTCACTTTAGCCACGCAGGCTCATGTGCGCTCGCTTTAAACACTGAGGTATCGTCGGATGGATTTCGAATGTGATGAATCTGTACCCTGAAAACTTAATTGCGTGTGCATCTGATTTAACTAGAAGGCAGGGAGGGGGTGATGCTGGAAACAAGGAAAGGAATAAAGGGAAATGAGGAAAGAGCGATGGAGTGGTGTGGTGATATGTGGCCGGTGGGGAGGGGGCGTTTAGCTATATGATGACCATTTGGGGTCTTTTAGCTACTAATTGAAGCGTGTTTAGTGGCCTGTGTTGTTGTGTATTAAGCACTGACAAATGCATATCCTCGTCTCCTTGGCTGATCCTGCAGTCATGGCTTTTCCCCCCCAGATAATTTAAATCAGCTTAATCACGGGTGGGCCTCTGGTGATCAGGGCACGTAAGGAAATCTAAATATGAATGGATGAATAGAGCAGTTAATGTGATTATGAATAATTGCTGAGGGGTTGGAACAGTGTGTGTGTTTCTTTGGGGTGGTGGGGCATGTTTTGATTCAAAATTATTTAATAACTTCAAAAGCATTGAAGTTATTAAATAACTGGGCCTAAATATAAATGGATGGGGACAGTAGAATTCAGCGTTCGCATTCAGAGCATCCCTCCCTCATGAAAAGAAATCTTTTATTACAAAACAGGAACAGCAAAAAGCTGAGTTTATGGGAAATGCTGGTAATTTGTCGTCAAGCCCTTGTGTTTGCACTCACTGGTGTGCAGCATAACGCAGCGTATGCGGCGTGTGCTTGAGAGAGAGAGAGGCAGTGAATCAGCGAGTGGGAGGAGAGAGAGAGACAAGAAGAAGGAAAGAAGGATGGAAAGGGGAGGAAGAAGGAGAGGGAGGGTGAATGAGGCAGCGGGGGTAGAGTGAGCAAGGCAGAGAGTGAAGGCGAGTTAGAGGGAGGAGAGAAAAAAGGAGGTGGGGGACGTCGCTGCTGCGACCGTTTCTCTTGTCAGTCGGCTGCTGTGTGCCTGGCGAACAGGAGGGAGCGCAGAGCAAGGGAGAGAGGAGCAGAGGGGGACACGGAGAGAGACGCTGGTCAGTGCTGTGCTTTATTCTGGCAGCACTATTGTCATCTGTGCGGCTCCGGGAGCTGCAGACATGCTGTGAGGGAGTGGATTTAGGCGCTGGACGCAGATCTGCAGATCCATGGATTACCAGCAGTGAGTAAGGCTGTCACTCTGCTAACCCACTCATCATTTGCAATAGAGGGGTGAAGCCACAGTCTCTCACTACGGGGAGTCTGGCTGTCTTGACCCTGGAGTGAAGAGGGAGTGCAGACCAGACAGTCTTTGTCTTGTTTTTTGGCTTCCCCTTCCTTCCTCCATGTCTTTCAGTGTTTTTCGCTTGTGTCTGTGTCAGAGTGTATCATTGATGCTGTTGCTTGGGTCTCTGCAGGAGGGATGCTGGAGGCTAATGTGGCTAACATTAGCATGACGGCTAAGCCCAGAGAGCTGGACCTCAGGTCTGCTGCTGTCCCCTGCCAGGATACTTCATCCCAGGCCATGGCATCAAGGAAACCACCCGCCAAGCCCTCTGCTCTGCCCCAGGGGCCTGTGCGTCCCTCTGGGTCAGAGCTCAAGGTCTACCGGCCCACCTCCGGATCTATCCCCATTCCAATCCCCAGTCAGTCCGGGCTTCGCAAACAGCGTTCACTCAGCAACTTGTCTGTGCTCACCGATGCTGAGAAGAAGCTGCACCTGTACCAGTCTACCAGGTGGAATGATGACACGAGCCGTCCTGGCACTGTGACCAACAAAGCGGGGCAGAGTAAGGCAGGTCAAGCTGGTGGTGGGAGACCACCACTGTCCCGGACACTTTCAAAGTCAGAACAGTCTCTCTTTCAGGGGAAGCCAAAGTCTTTCTGCTCCCCTTCTGTGACTTCTAATATAGGCAAGCCAAGTCGAATCCCTGCACCTGGCAAACCACGGGGACCTTATGCTGAGGTCAAGCCAATTAGCAAGGCCTCTGAGACAGCCCAGAATGCAGATACAGACCCAGCTGATCACCCAACCAAAGCAAACTCCAATGGAGCTGGGACTACTGGAACTAATGGCAAGAAACTAGGGGAGAAATCCAAACCTGCGGCTCTGTCAGCGGAGGAAAAGAAAGAGAGGAAGGGGATGGAGGGTGAGGACGATAAGAGCTTTTTAAAGGTGGATCCAGAGTTAGTGGTTACAGTCTTGGGAGACCTGGAACAACTGCTGTTCAGCCAAATACTGGGTGAGTCTGTGATTTCTGTCCCAGTTTTTTGGTTACTTTGGGTTATTTGTTCTCACTTACAATTGGCTGCAAAGATGTGAGGTTAATTACTGTTTTAGTGGAAACTGAAACACAGAAACAAACTGTGAAGCATTGTGACTCTACACACTGAATATCTCTGCTCTTCTCTCCTTTCCACACCCAAACCTTTTCCTCCAGCTCTGGCTCTAGCACCAGCATCAACAGTGCATTTTAAATGAGTCCAGTCTCTATTGCAGCACACTACACTGTGTATGTGTATTTGAGTGTGTCTGTGCTGTTTTATTTTAGTGCTTTTCACTATAAAATAGTGACAGCCCTTGATCTGAAAGTGGTGAATTTCCCCCTGTTGACAACACTGTAAACAGTTACACAAGCTTGGTTCAAATGTGCCAAATCAATCTTGTGCCGTATGCATTTGTGTCTGTACGTGTGTGTATATGTGCATGTGTACAAGAAGTGTGTGCTCCTACAAAGAAGCTGGAGTAAGCATTCCCCGGGCTGACATTGTTGTGTTGTTGATAAATTAGTCAACATACGCTGCAGTGTTGCCTCCTCTCATTTGACCCACTGCCACAGTGTGCTAGATTTACATTAATGCACCATTATTCCCTGATCTCTGTGTATGTTTACATCTCTATTGCAGCAACCTCGATAGCATGGGAACGTATTCTAAAATTAGCAGCACATTTTAACACCAGCAAGCATATGTATTGGCTACTGCATCACTGTATGTAAACGGCATCTTTCTGCCGGCCTGCCAAAATCGGTCAGTCGTTAATAAAGGCCGTGCGAGTGGGACTGGTGGGAGTGTTGTCCTTCAGTCTGTAAATAAAACGGCCGCATATTGAGCCAGGCTCCGGTCACAGTGGGCCACCTATTTAGCCTCGCACCACTCCTTCGCTCCCTCGACCCCCTCACCCCCTCTAGTTTCATTGATCTCCGGGCCACTGACAGATGGTCACTATCCACCCCCACCCCATCCCCCTGTTACCGGGGGCAACGTGCATGAGGAGTAAGGGGAAAGTGAGTGGGTGGCGGCATGGGCAGGTAGCGTTCGAGCATCCGCGCGGTCACACGTGTGCTCAGATTGTCCATGGCAGCGCTGGGACACATTATATATTCCAAGTTCTTGCTGCTGTGGGTGTGCCGTGACGATGGTGACTGAGTTTGTGATTAATAGGTCAAAACAGAGTTTGAATCTGCACCTTTCATCCATTATTCATTCACACACACACAAACTCGAGAGCATTTCTCTATTGCTCCTTCTCTTTCCATCCCTCTAGGAGTACCAGATAGCATCAGAGAACGGGTGAGATGAGAAGAGGAGTGCAGTAGGTCGTAATATCTCGCTTGATGCAAGGAAGTCATTTTCTGCTCATCATCAAACCTTTATCTTTGCTCCACTCTCTTTCACTCTACACAAGCCTGCATCCTGCAGCACGGCCCCAAATCGCAGCATGTTTGACCTTGCCCCAGCAGCCCTGTGTGTGTATCTACTGTACATGGTGTGTGTGTGTGTTGTTTGTATCATCTGTGTGTGACCTTGTTCCTTGTTGTGATGTTGCTGGCCACACCTACACTGAGGCAGCCAGGTAGGGAGGAGGGAGATAAAAAGAGAAAAGGAGGATGACAGGAAAACCTGGTAATGATGGAGATTAGCGACAAAAAAAATGGAAAGGGTATAATGTGATTCATGGAGTGAGACAAATGAAAGAAAGAGACACCCTGAAGGAAAATAATAGTAATAGGCGATGACCTATATTTCTATCTGAGATTGAAATGACTGAATGCAGTGTAGCTTTGGGTCATTACGGTCTCTTCTTACCTGCCAGAGGTTTATTACTGAAATGGGCAAGTATGTAGGGTAGCTTTGTGTGCATACTCATGGAAATGTGTGTGTGTGTGTGTTGTGCTTGTATGTGTGTTAGGGAGAGGTTAATTGTAACTTGCCCTGTATCTTGCAGCTGTGGGCTCATCCTTTATCGTATCTGCTTCTCCATTTCCGATGGGACGCTTGGCTAATTGGTTTCTGCTCCGTGTGCTCTGTCATGGAAGATAGATTATGGATGTTCAGTGGATCATTCCCAGATATCCACTCTTCTTCCTATATACAGTCTCACCTTCTGCTTTTCCACGTCCTGAAGACACGAGCCTGATGGATCCCTGTAGTGTACCGTATTACGAATTGATAAATGAACCTTAATTTGGTCAAGGCCTTGTCGTTATGGAAGCTATGTGCTAGCTTTGAGCTACTGCGAGTAAAATATGTGCTTGTGTCTTGTGCATGTCATTTTACATGACATCAGACCACATGCACTGAGACGCTGTCCTTTTGAGATGAGCCTACAGTAACAGGTAAAGATAATGAAGATGCCATTGAACTATAATGAAGATGTGTAACCCAAGACCATCAGCTGTGTGCTTGAAAGGGGTAAACCCCTCCCACACGCCAAAAGAAAGAGGAAAAAACAATCCGGATATTTCAAGGTTTGGCTTTTATGTTTATCTTGTGAGGTGATTTGGGATTACTGTTCGCATCATCTGTTTTTCTGTAATCGGACATACATGTTTAACCACTGAGTGATGAAGCGCTTTACACTAATTGGATTTAGAGAATTACTTGACTTGCGTGTCCACGGACAGCAGCTCTGGACTTGTAGAGTTAATTCCCCCCAAATGCAGCTTGTATTATATGATATCTTGTTAATAGCATTAAAATGAAAGTTTGACACGCAAGTTGAGAATTATAAACATTACTTTCAGTGAAATGTATCGATCTGAGCGGCACTGAGCAGCATAGGTCGCCAGAGTAATCCAACGCACTGAACCTCAGATGTCTGCCACTAATGACACCTCCCGGTCCCATCCAGCACCCATAATGAGGTGTGTGTGAGAGGGTAAGCCCCTAAAGCAGTGGCCTTTCCCAGCATGGGGTAGGCACAGCCACAGAGAACCCAGCCTAAGACAAGAACCAAGCATCCGGATTAAACCTCGCATAAAGATAATGAGAAGATTCAACCCCGTTCCACTAATCGCAGATCTATCACCCTAGAAAAGACCAGCTATAAAGACTAAAATGAATTAAAGATTAAAGCCCTCAGGGCATCTGTTTGGTTAGAGATTTGGGGGAGTTTTACTTTTCGGATGGGATAGGGAATATAAATGTAGGTTAGAAGATTGAAGATGCTGTGTGGTCTTGATTTTGGCCGAGCACGAAGACTCAGCAGAAGGGAACTTAACGTGACTCGGTGACACATGGATGCTCATTAATGCGGCCTTAACTACTGGTGTGATTTAATTTTAGTTTGGCATTCTCTTGTGTATGAGTGTGTGGGCAAGTTTGTGTGGTTGATGGTTCCTCTTTGTGTGCTCATCAGCTGTCTGAGGAACAATAAACCCTACAGAGAAGTCGACAAAGCCTGAAATGGAAGACACACAAACCCAAACGAGCACACAAGCCTTCAAGAGAACTTAAAAGCGCTGCAGGAAAAAGTGTCAGAGCAAAGCTTGCACATGCTCACACATGCATATTCCAGATACGCTCTCCTGTCTATACTCTGCCGTATTCATCCGTTCGGCTGCGGCAGGCTATTTTTCATAATCAGTTCCTCCATTGTGATGGCAATGCTGAGTCGTTAATGTCATGCGGGTGCGGTCGGATTGCTGGTTACACCCCGGGCTTTGCTGACTGAAGGATTCAGGGCAGTAGTCCTCCCGTTGAGGAGGTGGCAACGAAGCAAACAAACACAAAAATGCCCAAGGAAAGTGAGGAATAAAGCATCTGTCCAAATCTCTCGCTTTCTCCTCCTCTTTTTCAACTCTGATGCGAGTTGACGGGCAGCAGTGTTCTGTCACAAGTCAGACAGCAGAGAGGATATTTGTGGTACCAGTGTTTCAGCAGGAGGACAGAGGACATCTTTTTAATGTGACAGCGAGTATTCACAGAGGAAAGGGATGTTTCTGCATATAGGTTCTTATATGATTATGCATTTATTCTCATTTGGTGTGTGCGCATGTTTTCAGTGCTCTGTGGTTAGCGTCTAAAGACCTAATGCAGGAGCCATTGCATTAGTGCTGTCTGCTTCCTGCCGTCCTCCTCTAAATCATATTAGTACTCACTTTGTTTTTGTCTCATTTGCTGTTGCACAACAACACACAGACACACTGCCTATCACTTAAAAACAAGTAAGTTATTGCAGTGATGCCATTATATCATTTGTAATGTACCATGCTGACAGTGGCAGGGGTGTATTTTGTTTGACTTGTGTTGTTAAAGATTTAAGTGCTCATTGATCAAATTGGAGCACTTGTGCTCAAACTTAACTTAAAATATAGAATTCTTTCATTCGTGTGTGTGTGTGTGCGTGTGTGTAAGACAGAGAGCAGAAGATAAAGGCAGAGGGAGAGTTAATGCATTTTGCCTTGTGATGAGAAATACTTAGTACTCATCTATTTTTATTCTGTTTATGTTTTCCTCTTGTGAAAAGTCTCAGATAAAAGTGCCCATTGTTCCTGTCACAGCTCCTGGCATGTTCTAGCTGCTTTAAGGAAGTAGTGTCAGCTGCACACACACACACACACGCACACACACACACACGCACACACACACGCAGAGTGTTGCGACAGTATTGCATTTAGCTTGCACCAGTGAGTAATCTAGGCTAAAGCAAAACTAACAAGGGGAACCTCCACTATATTTGTTTAGCTGAATATGTCAGAGTTCATGTCAAACTAACCATAAATCATTAGTTGGTTAGCTTTTAAACACTTTAGCACTTCTGACAGTCAGGTATGGTAACATTCAAAAACATCTAGTCTAGATTTATAGATCTCTGATTCCTCTGGGAGTTTGGACATCGACAGGCTTGAACTGGAAATTGAATTTTGTACGGTCTCGGCACAAACAGAGCTGAGAATACAGAAGAAAAACTGGGTGGGAGAGCGAAGAAAAAAAAGCTTGAAGCCCCAAATGTCCTGTA